TACACCTTTTGCTGTTCATTAACCGCGAAGGGACTTTCAATCAAGCGAAACTGCATTGTCTTTAGCGCGAACGAACGTTCATTAACGCTTAGGGAGTTTCAAGAGCGTGAAGGGAGAATCATTAACATATTTAGCATAGACATGGACAATCATGCATAACTGGGCGCAGATTCATTAACGTTTTCAAACCTTCATTAGCCCATTATGTGCATTCAATAAACTACAACAAACATACAATACCAAAATACGGACATTTAATTTCGTCATAGTTTTTATTTCTAGGATTTAAAGAGTGCTCAATAAGTGTGAAATTTTACATACAAAAATTATCTTCATCCTTGAATATGCTCTCTATTTAAGCATCTTGGTAAATAAGTTTGCATATGGTTGTACCACTGGACTGCTTTTTGAGGTGTTATGGCATTAACGTTTCTTGTGGCAGCTCTGAGTAGGAGCTGTTTTCTCCACTCGCCAAGTGGAAGGCCTTGTCTTCTAGCTTCGTATCTATTATTCATCATGCGTTGTTTAACGAAGCTTGACGTAAGAGACTCGTCCTTTCTTGATGACTTGGTTGGTCCTAATATAGCCCAGCCCAAGGGTGAGCGAATAGCGTAAGGCTCTCCGACTTTTCCTCTTCTCTATTCGAGCACCCAGAATGCTTCAGGAACGTTGCTACCAATGATCATCTTCACTTCTTTGTTCTGAAACTCCGATAAGATCACATCATGTAGGTGGGGCCATCGTTGGAACTCTGTGTTCGTAGGGATACCGTGGGTTGAGACATTAACACTGTCCACGGTCCATAGTGTGTTGATCGTCACCGTGTTTTCACCGTCCAGGGATTGGATGTTTAAACTTGACATATGCACTGTCCGATCTTGGCACTGTTCTGTTTTTCTTGCGTCGTCAGGTAAAACAACTTCTCTTTTTCATTACAGAGTACGTTTGGCATCTCCAGAGGTGTACTGCAGCAGATCCATCACTCGCTTACTACCTGTTAGGGCGTTCTTTTCGATATAGTTCTCGAAACATTTCAKAAAGCTATAGTACTCCAGTGGGTCTAGGGAGATGGATCATATGAGCTAACTTGGGATGTAGGGAGAGCACTCGAAAAGCTGGAAACCACTCCGCTACGCGTCGTGGTTTCCTACGCTTCTCTCGTGCTCTCCCTACATCCCGCGTGTTTTGATCAGAGTATCAAACACGGAATTTCGTCTTTTATTCCTTAAGTAAAAATCGAGACACTTCGAAATTATAGATGTGTACTTGAGAAAATAAGAAAATAACAAACAATCAAGGTTTTAAATTTGTCTCATTCAGTTTAGTCCCGGCCAAATAGGAATTATCGCCAACTATACAATATAGCTGTACTGAAATGTTTTGAACCGGGAGAATCAGGATTTTGGACCATATCTGACATATCTCCCGTTCTCGACATTTCAACAGAAAATGGCAAAACTCTCGCGCTTTAATTTTGAAGTACATTTACCAAAGAAATGGAACATGATTTGTACATGAACGCACGGCATCTTGAATTTTGAAGAAATTATTGGATGTCCAGGGAACAAAAGTACACATCCATTGTCTTTTAGAATAGCACCAAAACATTTATAATAATCATAAATATTTATTATTATAGTTTCGGGCTTCGAATTTAATCTAATTCAAATGTGTTATGTTTTTAATTGTTTTTTTTTACGTTTAAAATATAATTTTTATGTCCATAGTATTCTAAAAGTCCTACAGTCAATAAAATATCTTTTTTATTGCCCCCTGGGCATCCCATAGTTTCTTACTGAATTGACACTTAAAGCAATAGAGTTCAAGATAGTGGCATATTAGTAAAAATGTCTGTTATAAAAGTAAAATATCGATTGTCTGCGACGGTTATTTTTGGTTCAACATTGAAAAATCTAAATAAAATGACGGATTTATCGATCTGAAGATTTGATATTGCATGGGGTTGACAACCCTGTAAGCGAATTGAACTGTCAATTGAAAAATGCAGTCGGTGTATATTTGGCAGTGAGTTTTACTAGTACTACGACAAACGTATCAAAACGTTGTGATGGTTAACATTTCGAGCTCTGTGAATTTCACCTTGCCTCAATTTTTTACAAGTGTCAAACGTTGAATCCCACTTTTACGCAAAAACTCCATGGTTATGTTTCTATCATCACCCTATTTTCATTTAATTCGGGACCAAGGGACTTGAAACAAGTAAATATAGGTGTAAAATCATATGCTATAAACACAACATCACTCAAATTCATAGTTATAGCAGACATAGTCAGGAAGGAAGATCTCCCATATCAAAAAGCAGCACCATAAAAAGTCATTGAAATTCAACTGTTTTACTAGTTGTTTAAAGCTGTACACAAAGCCCTGATGACTATTTCATCAATTTTTTTATACTTTAATTTTTTATGTTTTTATTTATCAATGCTGCATAAGATAATCAAACACTAGCAAAACTCTCAGTTTTAGCATCGGATCATAGTATACTCGGTTTTAAAGCGTATTTACAATTGTGTTACAGGAAGAATATGATTTGCTTTTTCATTTGTTAGTGCGAGTGAATCCGCATTTTAGAACTGGTGCAGAAACATTTCGAAAATTAGTGTTCAAAAGTTTTTTAAAACGCTTTCGATGTTTGAAAATTATGTGAGTGTTACAGTTTATATGGAATTGTTTGAATTATAGATTACCTTTAACAGGTGGCTATAAGCGAAGCTTAAATCTTAACCTGTAGCTTGGTAAATAATTGAAGACATTTATGTATTTTGCAAAATTTCTCAACTTCCACAACATATTAACTTCATAACTGATTCTTTTCGGTTCACTCGGTTCAGTCTCAATTTTCCTCTATTTTAATTCTGTATGTTCTACAAACTTCAGTTTTGGAATTGGACGTGACTTTACATCAAAGCGATATCTTGCATAAATGATTGCTTGAATTATAGATTAATTGCAGCAGGTAACTATACAAAAACTCTGTTAAGAGCTTAACCTAACATGCTAATAGATGAAATAGATATTTTGCCAATTCTTAAACATTGCCAATTCATATAGAATATAACTTGGTATTTTTACCATTGCTAAGGAAATATCTTCGTTAGTAATTCACCAATTTCCTAATCGTACTTTCATCCGACAACCCTTTCCTGGTTTTATTACGCTATTCGTGAGGATATTGTAATGTATATGTGGAATGCGCTTCATAATTTATTGGTATTTTTAATAGGTCAATAAAGAAATTACGATATGCGGCAAGTATTCATTTATTTATGCTAAGTAGGGTTAAGGTGCCTGATAAGATTCAATTGTAAACGAATGGAAATAGATAGGGGTTTTTAACAAAATTACTCTTTTTGTGCAACGGTACAATCTAAGCTATGAATCAAGGAAGCGTAGTTACAGTACGATTTGCTACTCAAGATGACGTGGATAAAATACTCCACGTGTCAGAGGGAATCTATGATGGAAGAGACTACCTTCCTGTTGTCCTTAAACAATGGCTAAATCATGAGAGAAAGCTGATATATCTTGCAGAGTACGAGGGCGAAGTCATTGGGTTACAAGTTGCAACCATCGCAGAAGACCAACAGTCATTTGTCACTCAAGCACTGAGAATTCATCCAAAATATCGTGGGAAAAAGCTGAGCTACCAACTAACAGAGGCTGTTATTACAAGTATTCGGAAAAGCCTTCCTCAAGTATTGAAGAATAGGAGTGTATGCTCGAAAAATTCGCCTGCTTTTTTGATGTTTAGGAACAAAGGTTTTAAGCCCATTATGGAGCAAAGAGTACATGCGCTTCAAAGGTTGCCTTCTGACGTCCTTACCCAAAAATGCCCAGAATTATGCGATTCCGAATTGGTACCTTTGGGTACAAAAGATGCACTGGAATTGTACAAGAGCGAAAAACTGTTGAATATCATTGGTTCGCACAGCGTTGTCTTGGTCGATAATGTTTTTCCTCACAAACTTCCAGAGGATGCTCATATTGTAGCGAAGAAAGTAGAAAATACAGTCTTTGTTGACGTGTCCTTACAGGAGTTTCGAAACGGAAAATTTCCAAAGTCTTTCAGCCAAGGCGTGCTGTCAAAAAGAGTTGCGACAGATATATGGATTTGCCAAATTTATACAGATGATACCGAGCTTTACAAGAAACATTTTCTACGTCAATTGAATGCCGCTGCCCAAAGAATTCAAAGGAAGGAATTTATTTTTCGTTTCTTTCAAAGTAGTTGTTCACAGTTTGATGGATGCAAATTGGTGAAAGATGAAATTTCTCGTCTGAAGCTGAATTGTGAGGTGGAAAGTGAAGTTCGTGTTCTTTTGGAATATGATCTGAAATGATTTAGGATATTCTAACTATATGTGTACGTTGTGTTATATGTTATAACAAAAGCAATATAGATAGATATTATCATTCAGTGAGTCACATAGAAGCGAGGTGGTCGTAGACATTTAGACATTTAGTACAATTGTCATTTACAATATTAAGTTATGTTCGAAGTCGAACAATAAGGACTTCATGGAATTTCAATATCAACGGAATGATTACCAACTACAACAAATTACAAGGACCTTGTAACCCTGTCAAGTCCGAATAGACAATTTCCGGGATACACGGGCACTTTGGAAAATATTCCGGCAAGTTTTACCTATTTTTTCAGCGCGCAGCTGTGATATTTTTGAAAGCGGGGAATGTCGGAGGAGAACTATGAAATCAGATGCCTAAGATCATACCAACACAATATAGTGTGATTAGAGTTAGTACGCAAATTTTGAGTGATTTCTTCCACTGTTCGCGTGATAATTTTAAAACCTCCATAAAATATGTCATGTAAAAGGTTTTGCTTAGTTAAAACTGAGCTTCATTCCCCAGCATTTTCCATTGCCTTTAAAGGCATTAAGATGATCCCAGATCTTATTGATGCACTAGTAAGAACTAGTATCTAAATTCCAAATGCCACCCTTTTCAAGATCCTCTTTAAACATTACTTAGTGATCATTTGTAGTGCCACTCACTGTGTAGAAATAGTTTGAATAATTATTTAGTTCCCAATAAAAAATTGATAATAATGAATAATAAGCCAATAAATAATTCAACGAAGTATAGCTGAATCGGGTTACTTTGAGAATAAATACATGATGATTCTAAAGGGCTCTTGTAAAGCAATTTGCAAATGCTGTATAGAAACAGATTTAAAATTTAAAATGTAAATGTAATCAAAATATATGTATGTAATGAACTGTTGTGAAGTTATTTATCATTTCGCTCCTTAACGGTTAGCTCATTCTATAATAATAATAATAATAATGTGCAATTTATATAGCGCAAATATCCGTACGTTCATATGCGCTTTACAGTAAGAAGATTTGAATAACAATAAAACTTTTAAGAAAGTAAACAATATAACAATAATAATGACATTGACTTCAATACTAATACTTTTTTTTTTACAATACTTTTAACATTTCAACATATACGTATTTTTAATATGTATATAAAAAAAACAAATCGTAAATTTACATCTTATAAAATACTTAAAAGAATGTTAATATGCCTGTTGAAAAAGCCAGGTCTTTAAAGCTTTTTTTAAAATTTGATAAACAAGAGCTAGATCTGATATCACTTGGTAGTGAGTTCCACAATTCAGGGCCAGAGAAGGAAAATGCCCTTTTGCCCTCATTCCCATGGAAACCACAAAAAGTTCCTATGCTGCATGAACAAAGTTAAACGGTTTTAAATTTAATTTAATTTTAAGAAAGAACAAAATAAATATATAGACAATTGAATCTTCACAAATTTTTTTTTGTTTTTATTTTATTTCCTTTTCGCCGGTAAACGCATGCTCTCGAATATAAAGGACGAAAAGCTTTGGGAAAATCATATTACTAACAGTAAATATTTCATGTGGTTTTTCATAATTAATTGCAAGAAACTAAAGTTTTGAGAACAAAAATGTACAATCATACACAGATTCTTCTTAGCTTCTAAACTAAACTAACAAGGGACTGGGTACGTGATAGGAAAATAAACAAATTATAGCTCAATGACGGGATTCGCAAATGCACGTTAATAAATTTTACCGATGGACCTTTTCTGGCATACAGAATCATGGTGCATTGTGGTCTAGCTTCGACACGAACAGCGCCATATTTGTCAGCTTGAATAAAAGGATGTTTGTACTGAATCTAGATCTCTGCTATCTCAGAAAAGGCCTATGGCAACCAACCCTTTATTGCTTCAAACATTTTCTCGAGGCGCCCAGGAAAGATGACTTTGATATCAAGTGGTTACCCAACGATTATGCGCAATAAGTCACGGTTTAGATGCTAATCATGATTATTGGTATTTCCACAGGGCCTGGTCTGGTGTTTATTGCTTATCCTGAAGCCATATCTCAGCTGCCTGTATCAGTATTCTGGGCAATTTTGTTCTTCTTTATGCTGATGACATTGGGACTGGATACTATGGTAGGTAATATGTAGATTAGCTAAAAAGGCCGCTGTGATTGGTCAAGCACTGTATGCCATATTTGGATAAATACATTCTAAAACGCCCTGTCTGGTCGCTTGTTACCAGACGTGAGAAAAGTATCAAGAAAAGCGTTTATACTTTTTTGTAGTATGTGCTCTACAATAGATCCAAGGCAATAAAAACAAAAAAAGAAAAGAATAATTTATTTTTTTTTTGGTTAAGCTCTAGGTTATCATGACGGGGCACCAATCATTGCATGACGAGGGGCGTAGAACTTAGTGCTGCTTGGAGTACTATAAAATCGAACGTTTCAAACTTATTATATCAGTTATAATGTATTAATCTATCTAGTAGAAACACCTTGGACTTTGCACATTTTAAAATAGTAGATTTTGAAAAGGTTGTTCACCTATTTAAGACCTTTCCAATGTTCCAAAATAATCACTTCCTGTTCATGTGGTATGATGTTAGAATGTCAGTTGTGTCAGTGGAGAAATTTGACAATTCTTAGAAATCTCCACGCGCAGAAACTGATTATAAGACACGTGGCAACTGAAAAATTGGAATAAATTTCTTTTAGATAGACAACCTTTTCAAGATCAGCAGTATAATTTTTAAATGAAACAAGCGAAAATATACCAGCCAAATGGCATGCAATAACATTTATAGCCTTCTTCGCCGCCTCTTTCTGTATGATCAGTAGAAATTCATAACATTAACTTCCGTCTTAACTAAATATGATCGCAAAAAAATCACGATACGATGACATCTGTTGTACATGTGATTACAACTGCTGTTGTACGTTATCACTAAAATTTCTTTGTAAAGCCCCGTTTACACTTTTTGCAGCATGATTTTCTATGGTGCACCTAAAATCGTACTTTTAAACATCCCTGCGATTCAATCGCCGCAAAACTGCAGCTAAATTTCAAGCATGTTCGAAATCCAGGCGATGGACGGGCGACAATCGCGCTTCAAAAATCGGAAGAGCAAACGGGCCTTAAAGGAGTCTTTGTTTTGTTTTCAGTTTGGTGCAATGGAAGGCTTCATAACTGCTATCATAGATGAGTTCCCCAAATGGCGTAGTCGCAAGTGGCTTCTTCTCGCTGGAATATGTGTTGCTAAGCTTCTTGCTGGGTTACCTTGCGTTACAAAGGTTTGTAATTTTTGACTGACTTTACATATTATATATATATACTTTTAAACTGCCAGTACAGAGTTATTGAATAAATCCAAAACGTATATATAACTTTATATAATTTAAAAAAAAGGAAATAATAATAATAATAATGATAATAAATATATAGTTGTAGTTATCAGGCCGAGATGGCGCTTTGGAAGAGTTTTCTTAATGTCATCGATTTCTCAATGTGTACATGAGAGACCTTGTCTACGTACATCAATGCATATGTACATCCATATATGGAAGTAGGACAAAAAAACACAAACTCATATACACACATGGAACAATTTTTGTTGACCAATTTCAGTTTTTAGTGAATATAAGGTCAACAAACTTAGGCCACGTATCAATCCATCTTGTTTTTATTAGTGAAATGTAGCCCGGTGATAAATCTCCATTTTGTTGAAAGTGAAAATGGCGTCTAATAAGTATTTTCTCCGGGGCACCTGTCTATCTGTTTACAACGGAAAGCCATCTTTTTAAATGCTAGTTCCTATCCACAAACTAACTCTATTACCCCCCTGTCTTAAAGATTGAGTAAAACTATAAAACAATCTTTAGAAATATCGCTTTCAAAATATTCCGAAAAATATCGAGTAGTTGTGGGTGGGCAACCAGCATAACCAGCATACTTTAATATACTGTGAAAGTTACAATTTCAAACATCCATTCATCTTCCATTGAGATATTCAAGTGTTTACCTTCAAAGAGGTAATCATTGTTTGTTATATTTATCTTCTATGTATATTTTGATAGGGTGGAATGTACATTTTCAACATGTTTGACTACCAAAGTGCTGGGATTTCATTGCTTTTTCTTGTTTTTCTTGAAAATATTGCAATAGCATGGATATACGGTAACTGCCACATTACACTAAATCAAACATGATAATGATAGCCAAGTCAGTACTCTGTTTTTTCTGGATAGAGGAAGGTGGAGAGCCACTTTTGCTGAGTCTGGGTGCTCTACTGAAGGATTCATGGTTAATATTTCTCTTCGGCAGTTATTCAGATCAATAAGTCATGCAGCAAGTGGTCAATCTTACCACTTTTCAAAACACAGCTAGTAACAACAGCAACAGCAATATAGCAATAGCAATAACAGTAACAGTAACAATTAATAAAATTACCCAAAAATAACAAATGCTACTAATTTATCTTATTCACAGTCTGAAATTAATCAATTGACTAAATTTTATAACTTTTAACAGAAAATAATGAAAAATGACTTTGAGATGGATAATATATTTGATCTCACTTCTAAGTACTTTTCTGATAAACATCGATGGAATAATATTTCATTGTTTACGCAGGTATTGATAAGTTCTCCGAAGACATATTTCTTATGACGGGAAAGAAACTTTCAATATGGATTCGAATCTCGTTAAAGTTCATTTCACCAGTTATTAGCCTGGTAAGTAAAACGAATAGATCCGTGATCAACATCGTGCTTATCATTATCATCTTTGGATCACTATCAGTGACATCATGAGAGCAATGGCGGGCTGTCTCTGCTGGTTCAGTTCGTGGTCCCCAAAATTTTTTGTTCTGTCTATTAAAATCTCTCAGACAATGTGGGAGTGTTGAATTCTTATGGATTGTGGAGCAAATTCGAGCGTTTTCTCCACTGAGCAAGCAACAGACGACATCATCATCATCATCATACCTTTCATTATTTCATATCTTTCATCCAAGATGATCTTTATTTACTTTCAGTGCATTTTGTTGGCCAATATCATCAACTGGAGAGGCATCAAGTACAATGGTGAGCCATATCCTGACTGGGCGGAATTCATGGGCTGGATACTTTGTATATCGTCGATGGCCGTCCCTGTTGCCATGGCCATCTATTTGTTTATAAAGACGCCTGGTTCGTTAAAAGAGGTACATCAAGAAAAAAGCATTAAATTCCCCAGCTATACACCTACATAGCTTGCCGGGAAGCTCTTTGATAATAACTCAAATTTCGTTGTCCTAACTTCTAATTTCGTTCGAAAAAAAATGAAAAGAAGAGAATATTATTGAATTTACAGAAAAAGAAAACGAAAAATAAAGAAATAGATTTATGTGATTACGGAACGATTTGTAATCATTTGAAAATTACTTTTCACAAGAGTATCAATGATTATTTAGCTGATTAATGATACTGGTCATATATTGTACGTTTGTCAGAGTGTCCTCTTACTTTTATCTTGTTTGTTTCACGTAGCGATGGGTGATTTTGACCACTCCAGATAAAACGGTGCAGGAACAGATTACCAAAAAACACAGAAGGATGTTGATTTTGTCCAATGAAATTACAACTCCGGTACGTAGACAGAACAGGCTTTATGTCTCAGAAATCAATAACTATGGACAACTGTTCGAGACCCGATTCATAATATACATACAGTCAACAAAGACAACAACAACGTCATTTGCATGAAACGAATGCATGAATTTTAATTCTATAAACTTTAGATAAATAGCATATTAAATATTATTGACATTTTAAAGAAGTTTTGGAATTTTATGTTGAATATTCTTGCAAACAAATTTAAAGGTATGATGTAATATGCAAATGACTTTGTTGTGTTCTTTACGCCTTTACAACTCAACGTTAATGATTTACTGTTTAGCACTCGCATATTATACGTACAGCACTTGTTTCAAAGAGTTACTCTACCCTGCTTAAGTCTCAATAGTATCTATGCCTTATGCCTGGTGTTTAAGATACTAAATGTATTAGCTTTAGTATAGATTCTTACGAATATTTAACCGAAAACGAAAAGCTACGGATGTCAACGCAATTCAAAACACGACTAAAACGAAGCACTACACCTACAAACAAACAAATTTCTTTCAGTTCTACGAGTACAAAACGCGTCAACCAAAGCTTTAGGACTGCAATTTAATCTAAGCTTCTTCTTTTCTTCTAGCTGTGAACCGTTACATTGGAGTGTCCAAAACGAAAACAGTCATATATATGTTTTACAATATTCACCTGCTTCTCATTCAACGTGAATTATGTGGAAATAGTTCGGATACATGCATTATTGGAATTGAATGATTGTCAAACCCAAACGTCTCATCCCTCTGACCTGAGATGGGCTATTTCAGGTAGACCATGGCCACTTTCCATGATAAACGTTGATTCCTGGAAATAGCGAGGACCAAAAGAGCCGTTCAGTCGAAGAGAACTGCAAATGCGTGACCGTAGATTACTTTGCAAATTCGAAAATTCAAGGATATTATTTAATAATTATTAGTTTGAAGACAAACCTGGTGAAGACGAGTGGCAATACAAAGAAGCCATCATTTAAAAATATCTTTAGTTAATGTAAATGGCTTTATCGACTTGTTCGTTTGTCGTGCATTCATCGCGATCTTTCAGGCAACATTTTTAAAAGTAGCTATATTTTGAGGACAATGCAACCCTTAAGCATGGCGTTCACGGCAAACTGCAAACGACAGAAAAGATCACGTGACCCGCTTTTTGGGAGTTAACCCTTACAGTTTCAACGCGAGAGAGGGTTATTTTGAGTTTGTCATAATCGTGAWAAGTCGCTCTTTCMRATGACTAYCWAAAGCACAAGGTCAGGCACGAAATTCTTAGGTCATTGGTTCAGGTCTGCCGTTAGCCGTTTGTCGTAACGGCGATGCTTAAACTCTCTAATGTAAGTCTGGCTGTTTAGAGTGACTCCACGCAAATTAAATTGAATTGATTCAAATGAATTCAATACCGTCTTGCTAGTACAAATTAATACTACTTTGATTTTGTACACGAGTTGCACGCTTTAAGTGCGATCACTCTACTAATCTTATTAAACAATTAAACCTTTTATTTCAAGATGTCTTTATTCTTTTCTCTTCATCAAGTTCAATTTTATAGGAACAAAAATAGGCATCATTTGTTTGTAAGTAAAAGGGTAAATGCATTGCTCACCCTGTTCTTTCTTTGGTAAGTACTGATCGGTAATATTCCAAAGATATAGGTGCCGAACGCCGTTCGTTTTTGTCTTTTTTTTAGAATCTGTTGATTTTGAAGAATTAATGATTTTGAAGTCCGACAATAAGGAGTAATTAGTCCTCGTAATTAGTTGCTGGTTCTAATTGCCAGGACTTGAAATCCCGTCCAGTCCGAATTGGAGGACTTTGAACGACTTCTCATACTCATTAATTATTCGGGAGGGAAAAAAGCGAAGGAAATACAT